CCTGCCATAGGGAGGGCCCCCTTCCATTAGATCAGATTGCTCAGAGTCCCATTCAACCTGGTCTTGAAGACTTCAAGGGACAAGACATGCATGGCTTCTCTGGACAACCTGTTCCAGTGCTTCACCACACTCACAGGAAAGATCTTCTTCCTAACATCTAATTATCTAACCTGCCCTCTTTCACTTTGAAGCAATTCTCCCTCGTCCTGTCACTACATTTCCTTGTAAAAAGTGTCTCCAGCTGTCTTGAAGGACCTCTTCAGGTACTGAAAGGTTGGAATAAAGTCACCCTGGAGCCATCACTTCTCCAGGCTGAACAATGTCAATTTTCGCACCCTTTCCTCACAGAAGAGGTGTTACATTCCTCTAATCACCTTTGTGGCCCTCCTCCGGACTCACTCCAACAGGATTATGTCCTTTCCACCATTAAAACAATAAGGCACAAAAGCCATGGCCACCAGACCCAGGACAAGGCTACTAGGACAAGCAATTGGAGAGGTGGTTGGTGTGACTTTGTACCTCTCTCTGGTAGGCTCAAATTTTCAGCTGAGTAGTCAGCGATAAGAAAAGAGAAACAACTTGTAAAATAGAGATATATCTCTTGGATAGGCTCTTTTCTCTCCGTAACTTTTCTTTTTCTGCTACTTGTCCCAGTTTTTGTGCATTCTCCTGAATACTAGGACAGAGGGTAAGTCTTTCTAGAAATGCCTTTGTTTCCCATTTCCCAAAAGCAGCTTAAAAAATAACAGTACAAAACTGGAAGAGTTTATATAGACTGAAGTGGCACAGAACCCAGACAATAATCATTTTTCCAACTCCACAGATGCAGAGCATATTTCTCTTCCCCCCTTCCTGACCTCTCCTCTAGGGTCTTCATATGAAGACATTACTTTGTTTCCGACCTCCAGAGCATTTCAACTCCTCAGTAAGTCATTTCTATCTCTGTATTTTGCTTTCCTTCCCACAAACAAAAGATGATTCACATTTTTAAAACAAATCTGAGACAGTGTCTGCAAAAACCAAAGAAGGACTCTAGCTGAAATGGTATGCTAATTTGGACAGATACTGCAGGCAGTCCTGCCATGTAACCTGGCTCAAAATCAGCAATGCTCAAGCTTAAATTAATTCAGTCTACAGATCTGTTTATGCGGGCATTGGTTAGAATAGGGGCAACCTCTAGTTTTAAAGCCTGTGCTAGTATTGAAGAGAATATAATTTCTGAAAACAAATATTATCCATGCATCAACCTGGCCAGTCCCAGCCCAAAAAGTTGCAAGGAATGAGCAGATAAAAATCCTACCACTATGGCACATTTGTTTTGCACACTAAAGGGTAGTCTTCAATTAAAAACTCCTTATGCTTATAAAGATCAGATAACCAGCCATCAGAAAATGGAAAAGAGTATTTCCCATGGAAAATATGCCTTTGGAATTACGAGCTGATATGGTTCCAAACTGCAGGACAGTTTCCAGAAAACAAATGACATCTTTGATGAAAGAGTTCAGTAATCTGGCAACTGAAATTGCAGCCCACAAAGATGAATTCATCTGCATAACTAATAAATCCAGGAAGTGCACTTGACACTTCAGAAACAGACCAAGGCTGAGATACAGTCCTACTCTCCTAAAACTCTCTTTAGACAGATAGTTATTTCTGCAGACAGAAGCTTAGCTTCAGCTACTCAAATGTGCTCCTTCAGATAATAAACAGAGATTAAATCCATGTGTTGGTAAAATCAGCAGCAACCCTGCTATTGATTTCCCGGGTCATTTATCAAGTCATCGTGATACCATTGGTTATGGATTAATGAACTGACCGAGATGATGCAATGCATCAGTTCCATGTTAGTGATACCTCTCACAGGTGTACGAATCTCCACATTATGGTACCATAAGGCATCACTTAATACATAGATTTTCCCAAATACAGGAATTACACTTGTAACTATTATGGGGGGAAGGGAGTGAGTGTATGTATATATCTCTGTAATAGAAAGATGTTCTTGAAACCATATGCAATTTTATGGTGAATAGTTTCTGCACAGCAATAAGCCTCTCCCCTTTTTCTATGAAACTTTATAAAAAATATTAAAATTTAATTGGTAGTGGGACTGCATATTTCCAAGGTTAATTTCCCTCATGTTTCCCATTTCTAGAAAGGAATTTTTTCTGTAATTTTGATTTTTTTTTATGTTGAAAAAGTATTGCTATGAAGGACTGGTTTCTCTGAGTATTAACAAGACATTACTGTGTGTTCAAGAAAATAGGAGTTTAGATATAGACGGTGTTGTAACCGCAAATAAGAGATGGGAAAGGCGGAAAAGAAAAAAGAGAATGAGAACTAACTACTATAAGCTTAAAAAGCAGCAGGCACTGCAGCCCAAACCACTTCTTCCTGGGCTAATGCACTGAACTGGACAAGCTCTTCAAACAAATTCACAGAGCCTTCAGAGAGTCACCTTAAAATGCTTCTAAAGTATGAATACTCTCAAATATTTTAACATATGCCCATATTTCTAACAGAAATATGACTGCTGTTATTACAGGCAGATTTCATGACTTTTTACTCCTTTTCTATGTATGGATTTTGCAGATTGATGTTGACACTTGAGCCAGTTGTTACAGCTGACCATAATAGAGCAGAAGGCTTTTTTATTGTGCAAAATGTATGGTTTCACTTTTTGCTTGTTTGTTTGTGCTAAACAAATTTTAGGGAAACTGCTGTGAAAAAATTCTGGATAGAGTGTTCACAGACCTTAGTTTGTGAAAAAACGTTTGACCTCAGATCCTTAGAAGCTGTACCAGATACTTTGTGGGAAGCACACACAAAACTGGAATTAATCAGCAATGTGACAAAAACTAAACAACCCACCTCGCACTGACAGATGATACAGATGAGAGTGTCTTGTGTGAATTTTGTCGTGCAAGGTTGGGCTCCAGCTTGGCCACCCTTGCTTTCAGAACAGTTACTATTCCATGTGCACAGCTGCTGTCAAAATGTGCAGTAATACATGGGAATAAACGTCTATTTCAGTATCAAGCAATAGCCAGGGATCCTGATTTTTCTGTATTCCCAGAGGTCCTACCCTCTCACCAAGTGGGCCTCTATCATATTCTCTAAAATCTGCCATGTCAAAATTTTTACTAGTGAGGTGCAAGCATTCTCAAGGTAGTTTAATAACCCTTTCATACTATGATGAGCAATGCATCAGAATTAATTAGCATGAAAGCTGGTAAAATGAGGGATAAAAATGGGGATAAAATGATGGATAAAAATGAGGATAAAATTATGGATAAAACATCAGAAAGAATGTGCTAAATGTGGTGAAAAGCCCCACAGCCATGAGCTTCCCCTGTGATCTAGCTGCAGAACACTTGTATAAATGGAGACTGACACAGAAACCAATTCCTTTACAAAAGCCTTTCAAAAATGCTTTCTACAATATTTCAAGTTGAAAAAAAAGTCTAAAATACTTGGACACAATACATTTCAGCAAACTCTACGATGTCAGAAAAACTCAAACAAAAGCCCTCTTCACATATTTCACTAAGTATACATTGCTACAAAGCAACATGAGCTTGAGCTGCCTTTTAGTTACGGTACACAGAAGTCTTCCTGAATACCTATGGCCATTTGCTGCCAACTGCTTCACAATGTACATTCATGAAAAATATTATGGGTTAGGCACTTCCAGTATATGGAATGTCACCTGAAAGGAATGTCACCTGAAAGAAATGTCATCAGAGCTGGCACGGATCTGTTGTGGGGAAAAAATCAAGATGTGCATGGTTTGGCAGTGTTCAGTCTGTAACCTCAAAGCTCAAGGGAGGACAGCCTGAACAAACATAGCAGGAGTCATCAGACTCTTTCCTCAGCTCTAGACACACATAGTATCATGCTGTTCCTTTCAAAACATCATAAAACAGTACAGTATCTAGCAGAAGCCGATGTTTATCTTGTCAGTAACAACTCTCAAACTGCCCCTTTGAAACAAAATCGGGGAACAAATAAATAGCAGTGTCATCTGCCCCATTCCACAAAGGACCAATTTATCAAGCACAGCAATGGTGGACAAATCTTGATCAAAATCTTGATCTGCTGTGGTGATAAAGTGCACACACCCAGAAGGATGCTCTGCTGTTCTCTACTGATAAACAGCAGTGCCAAATGTTTTGCCACATCTTAATGAGGAAAACAAAGTAATAATGAAACACTTTGCACACATGCAACTAGAAAAGCAAACATGACACTCTTCAGCTCCAAATGCTGCATGAACAGTGGAAAGTACCTGATGGCAAATTGTGGCCTTTGCTTTCCCTTGGCATTTAAACATATAGTTAAGAGAAAGGATGTCTGACTTGACATAGCAGAGAGGGATTAAAAGGGAAGATTTCTTCTCAAGAAACTACCTTTATGATTACTAGTGCATCAATTTTAAAGCTTTGCACTGATACATATAATTCCACATTATTAAAAATATTCAGGTAAGTTTCTGCTATGTTAAGTTTGGTGTGTTTGAGTTATTTTTCTAAAAATACACAAGTCCAAAAACTAGAGATTTTTTTGAAAAAAACATTTTAACCAAAAGGTTTTCATCATGAATTATACTTTGGTAGACTGGTAAAAAAACATTCAATTACGTGTTTCTGTCATTTTAGATCAAGATTTGTCAAACTCAGAACTTCTATTTTATGGAACAGTCTCTTCCTCATGACCACGGTGACATTTCTCTAGGAAAGCTACTGTATACAGGAAAGTGCTGATCCTGACAACAGGCCTGGGATGTAGGACATGTAAGTTCAAATCTCCAGTTTCAACCAAATAAGGGTTCAAATATGATTCCAGGAGTCAAGGAAGGAAAGACGTTACTCTTCCTTGCAAATCATGTTCCTTAGTCACTTCTGAGGGATTAGCACCAAGAGTATGCAGAATCATACACCGAGAAATCAGCGTTGTGCACTTCTGTTTATGCAAGGAAGTATTTGCATTACTTTACTCACCATTCCATGATTTAGCCATGCTGGTATAAAATTATCAAGCAGCTTTGGGTAAACCAGTTCCCTGTCATAGATATAGATGCTCCAAAACATCGTCACAACAAACTAAGGAGAAAAAGAAAGACAAGACATTTTTAAATATATGCTTCTGAAAAATTACCTGCATTCTTTAGACAGTAAAATGGGTCACTTAGCAAAGGATTTAGGGATAGACATGGACGTTATTGTTCTTTGACCAAATACTGTTATAATCAACAATTTGAATCTGGATTACTCTTTGCATTCACTGAGGTTTTAACTTTTCTTCTTTTTTTTCCCCCTTAACTTTTAGCCAGGAAAAAAAAATCTCATTTTTTGACTTACATGCCTGTGGCCAAATTACAAGTGAATATTAGACTTTAGTAGCAGATGTGACACATAAATAATGTTTCTCCTCTAACAAGATAGAAAACAAATGGAAAATCAGCGAAAATATCACTTGGAATTCAAACAACATATCAATATGAAACATTCACTCCTGAACAGAAGCCTGTAAATTCATATTTGCACTTTTCTGTGTCAGCCATCAAAACCTTTAAAATAAAAAAAAAATAAAATAAAACCTAAAACCTTTGATGACTCTCTACACCATTAATGGACTGGGATCCACAGAAAAGAGGTCTAGTATCCTGCTCATCTGTCAATATGAAATTTGGCTTGGTTCTTCTCAGAGACTATTTACTAGGGGCCCAGAAAAAGACCATTATTTCCTGTAGACTGAGGAAATTAATCAGATAAAGACAAATGGATCAGCTAAAGTTTACAGTAGGATAAATTTTTGCTAATGTTCACATATTTTTTCAAGTTATCCTGATGCCTGAAAGGCAAAGAAAATACAAACCCACAAGAATGTACAGAAATGATAGTCTTAGCTGTGGCAAGCAGGTAATTTTCTAATTAAAACATCACTGCTTTCTTACCTTGAATTTGTTTTCTAGTAATAAAAATGGCTTATTTTCCATAGCACTAAAATCCAATACCTGGGCCAGGAGCTTTTCAATGATCATTTACAGGAGCTCTCTAAACAGTAATGCTAAATCCAAGCTTAAAATTTGGGAGCCAAAAGATAGAACTTTCACGGAGATAGACAGGAAGTATTCATTTACATCCAAACTGATGTGGCTCATGACCTCACAGCTCATTTAGAGGACCAGTGAAAGAAATACGGGGTGAGCATAGCACACCCTGCAAATTACTAGCACGTATAATAGTGTGGGCATAAGTTATTTCATTAGCTTCTGACTTCAGAAGGTTAAAATTGAGGTTTGCAGTTAATCAATGGCACCTTGTTCTAACCACAGACACGCAGACTTCGGCCAGCCAGTATGTGAATGACCTGAACCAGTGCACTGTTCCCTCAGTGTGCATACAGTACATAGTTTCTTGGTTTCCAGCACAGTTGTCCATCTGTTATGACAGCTATTGGTGCCTGCTCAGAATAAGCTTGGACTATTTGACTAGTGCACAGAGGCCAGAAAAAAAAAAAAAACAGGTTATGATGGACAGCCCAAAAAATATTGCAAGTGTAAAGTACCCCATAAGAAATCTCTCTCCTGGGCCAGTCTTGGCATTGGCACAGTGCAACTCTTTACGCACCTGCTGACACGTAAGTGCCAAGATATGAATAGCTGAACAGCAGGAAAAATGGAAGCAAAGTATCCTCTTCTCTATAAGCTTCCTAGAAGCCATGTATTATCACAGTGGGTCTCTGAGAACCTGCTAAGATCAACTGGGGCATAAAAACATCTTCTCAGGCATATGAAAACCAAGATTTATAATGTTTTTTTTCCAAGGAAGTCTCAAAGCAAGAAAAGTCAACCAGGACTAGGTTGAACTGTATTACACTGAATACAATGGAGCTAGCATGTTTGGACCCGTGATTTTTGTGTGGAGCAGAATAAAACAATAGACTTTGTCAGGGAGGTAAAGACAAGAAAAGAGGGGACGTGCCATCTGTCCCTTAACCAAAGTCAGCCAATGGATGGAACAGGATCAGCCTAGCTGGTTGCAACCATCTGGAGCTACAGACGGCAAACGCTGCTTAGCAAAGCACTATCACAAGGCAGACATAAGGTAAAGGAAGTGCGCAAAACCAAACGCGTTACAGAACTAACCTGTCCCAGAGGATGACCTGATATGCGACTTAACACAACACCCTGGGGAAGATTTCTTTCAGTGTCTGAACGGTTCACCTTACTCTTCTTTACAATTAGTTTGTTTGGATAAAATGAACTATAAAAAATAATTATTTTGATAAAAGGAACTATAATGAGGGCTTGTGGCAGAGTTACTTTGGCTGCTTCTGAATTTGTTTACTTTGATTAATGAGCAACTGTTGGTCTGGTACATTTAAATCCCCTCTACTATGCTTAGGTTTTGCTACTGGCCGACTTTTATTTGGGCTGGGCTTTGCTGAGATCCCACATGACCATGTAGTGCCAGACCATGACACAACTGAGCTGCTTCTTTACACTACCTCTTGTAAAGTCCCAGACCTGCTCGACGAGTTTTTTATGCTTTTTTTATAGCCAAGGCAGCACACAGGAGAAATGAGACAACATTCTCAAGAGGTTAAACAACAAACCTTTATTTGCAAACTTTAGAAAATAAAGGTGCTTGGCAAATTTTAAAGCATCATTCAATCAAAATCAAGCATTTCACAAGACATTGGCTTAGTGAACTCCAGACCATCCAACTCTAAGTTACTCAGATTTTGAGAAGAAGAAATGGGGGGAGGAAGAGAGAAAGACTGAAAAAATCATTGTTTGAATTCCAGTGTGATCTCAGCAACTGTGAAATCCTAACAGTGGGCTGCGACCACATGTGCCTATGCAACTGCTTTTATCTGCTCTGGTCTCTCAGGGCATTCCCCCTTTGGTGGGGCTTTTGCTGTGCCAGTGGCTAATAGCCATTCTGGGGCTGGACTAGAGGCTTCAGGGGGGTGGGGGGTGGAGCAGTGCACCATCCCACCTATGCAGGAACTGCCCTGCCCCCATCCTTTTGGTTGTTTTAAGTGAGTAATCATTTTCTCCAGTTTCTCATATGACTCTGAGGCCCAGAACAATGACTGGGACAAGAACAATGGGAAATGGGATCTTCTTCTTCTTCCATGGTGGCAGTACTGGGATTCTAATCTAGCAGAGAGAGGGAGAAAAGGAGAGGAAAAAGATGAAAGTGTACAAGAAATCATACAGCGGACAATTGCTACTTCAATAATCAAAAATATAGGTCCAGTCAGTATAGGGATTCCACCCTATGCAAGCCAGCATCCCTCACCCTGTGAATTCCAGAGAAGGCAAGAAAAATGCAAATCAGGATCTGGGGTGAAAAGTTCATGAAACCAGTCTTTCAGCTGCAGTGATTGGAAGACTGGCTGGCAATTTTCTTTACTTTTGTTTGTGCTTCTTAAAACAGCATTTTCCTATTGGTGAGGTTCAGCATTCCACATATTCCTTGCCCATTTAGTAACAAGTTATCAAGGATCAGACAGTTTTATAAAATCATTTTTGATACTTGCTGGACTTGTAAGTTGAGCTCCAAAATGGCTTAAGGAATTTAAGATTCTCTATTGCAATGGGATTGCACACCTTACAAAAAAATACAAACTTAAAGGATAAAGCAAATTTTCAACAGTTAGGCTGCCTTACATTTTAGAGCTGATAACCTTTTAAGTTCAGGTATCATTTTACCCCGAACAAGCACACATTTCCTATATTACCACCCTTACCCCTTCCACCAACCTGATTTCATGGGGGGTCCCCAGGGCCCATATTACAGTCAATTATCTTATTACAATGCTAGAGATCCAAATGCCACGATAAGGGGGAATATCAGGGTGCACCATGGGAAAGTAACATCAAGTGAAAGTTCTACTATGTAATAGTCTGGCTGCTTCAGAGGGATTAAAGGTATAACAAAAACTTGAGCCATTCCTATCTATTTGGCATATTTTTCTAGACAGGGTCCTGGGTTCAAACCAAATACCTTCCTAACTTACTAAACTCTTCACTAGTTTCCAAATCTGAAATCCTTTCTTCTGACATCTTGACCACTTAGGACTTCTTTTCTTTACAGCTGGAGAAAACTTTCCAGCTGCTGCCTCTGTCTCTGTCAATCCCCTTCTCTGTAGGATCACACTTCATACATCGCTTTCCACTATTACATGTGGTTCCTTTGGCATCAAACTACACTTCTTTCTCAATTCAAAGTAATTCTATACCTTGCTCTGAGGAGGTAGAAAGGGGTATACAAATCTGATTTCATAATCATATGAAATCCTGTCTGAGCTTCCAAGCTAAATTCAGGAAGGAATCTTTTCCACCTGCTGTAGCAACCAGAGAGGAGACACAAACAGCCCAAAACAATGCTTGTGACATTTATACACATACTGCAAAACTACTGAGACAAAACACACACAAATATAAATATCACAAAACATATTAAGATAAAAACATGTATAGACAGTCACTGCAGCAAAGAACTGTGTAAATCTTCAGTCCTGTTGCTGCTTCACGTTCTCATCTTTGCCATCTTTGCATGGAATACCTGCAGAAGGAGAGAGAAAAGAAAACTCGGTCCTACTTGGACCAGTTTTAAAAAAGAAGAATTATCCATCTGGTGTTAATTTTGTGTTCTCTGCAATGGGCATGTGTGGTTACCCATGCATGCATGTTCAGGGGGGTCTTTAAGACCAGCAGGATTTCCTCGATAGTTGGCACGTCTACCAGTACTAGCTGACAAGGAAAATGTATGGGGTTCCAGGAAAGTGTAGTAGGTGTGGGGCAAAATGCTGTAAGTCATGGCCATCCACTTACTCTCTGTGCGTCACTGACTTTGGTCACAGTGCCTCATAGCTGACCAGGCCACTGTGGATCCTGAGGTCTCAAAAATCATTTTAGGAGACTATTTGTCCTTTCTACTATTCCACTGGCTTGTGGATGTGGTGTAGGGGGTTGTGGAACACCCACAGTACCCCTTCAGTTTTCACCCATTCCTGGACTATTCCTGCTGTGAAGTGACTGCTACTATCTGATTGCACTGATTTTGGTTTAGGAAGGAAACTGAAT